CTGCCCCGTCGGCGAGTCCTTCGCAAGTGCCGGAGCCTTCACTTGGTGAGTGTGAGGAATTCAGTTTCGTTCAGTCAGCGTCCAGCTTAGTTTTGCATGTGGCCAACGCAGATGGCAGACCAGTGTGCGGGGTCATTGCCAAAGGATTTGTACAGGTGTCCGAACCCCGTCGGGAGCATAGGCCCTGCCGCCACCCCGCTTGCGTCAAGGCCGTGAGCCTCTGAGTTTTTGCTTCGCCACCGCGGGGGGGACTTTAAGAGCAGGCAGTTCACATTCTGCTTTCCTTCCTGACGGGGGAACAGTTCTGCGTTTTTGCTTCGCCACCGCTGGGACGTTTCCTCCTTTCTTTTTCTTTCTTTCTCCCCCCAACGCGGGGGTGGACTTCTCTGGCCTGCCGACGGACCGCCCCGTGGGCTTCAACGACATCGACGCCTTCGACTCCGCAACGCCGGGCGGGTGGAGGTCTTCGTCTTCGTGTGGCAGCGAACCCTGTGGGCGGACGGGCTGGAGTACTACCTTTTCACCTGGCTTCCCGTTTTGCCACGGGGTGGTCTCCACGCATCAATCTTGCTCTTTGGGAAAAACATTGCGGAGCCACGCACCAACCTGCACCGCATGTTGCATGGTTCATGGGATGGTCCTTGGCACGCATGCCAGGTGATCTCAAACTCGCATCTGTGCGTCTCGCGGTTTCTGGTTTCAGCTTAGGCGCTTAGCGGTTTCTTCTGCTTCTTTACCCCACGTGTAGCGGTGCTTTTGCAATGGCATCACCGGAAGAAATCGCGGCAGCCGGAGGCCACCTGTCCTCTGAGGACTATGCAACTCCGCTGACAAAAGAGGAACAGCGGAGCGCTAGCCCAACCTGCTGTTCCGCGGTCTGGGGGATCCCGGCTACCAGCCCACCCAAGCTTTCAGCACCGGCAACGATTCCCGAGAGCTCAATTAGAGCCCCCCGCTACACAGAGCTCGCTTAGCTCAGCACCGGCCGATGGCACCCAGCAACCTCCGGGGAGGTTTCGCAAGCCACCGCATGTGGCTTCGCTTCACACGGGGCCAGTTGAGCCCACGCATGCGAGCAGCGCTTCTGCTTCGCAGGGTCCGGTTGAGACCCAGTCATCCCCGCAGGGAGACGGTGCTCGCTTAGCGCCAGGGCCAGATGTGCCCCAGCATGCAAGCAGCTGCTTTGCAGGGTCCGGCAGAGACCCAGTCCTCCCCGCAGGGAGACGGTGCTCGCTCAGCACCAGGGACAGGTGTGCCCCAACATGCAAGCAGCGCTTCTGCTTTGCAAGGTCCGTCAGAGGCCCAGCCCCGCAGGGAGAAGGTGCGCGCTTCGCACAGGAACCGTCCGAGCTCGATGAAGCCCCGCAGGACACAAGCACCACGGACCCGCCTTCGCTTAGCACGCGTTACTTCCCAGCCCGGGAGGCGGTGGTGGAAGGCTGCCCTTGGCGGGTGGTGCGTACGCTTTGCTTTGAGTGCCGGGAACAGTGCAGCGGGTGCAATCAAGGACACTGTGGCAGAGCCGGAGAAGGCTCATTGAAACCCCACCCACACAGCTGCCGCAACTGCTATGGACTCCTTCGCCGACAGCGCATTATGAAGGAATGGCAGGAATGGGAGCGCCAAGCCTACGCTTCGCGGGCGGGGGGGTGTGTTCCCTTTATTCTGACCTTCACACGCCCCTCGGCACCAACTACAGTATCGCGCACGGCGATTGGCTGGAACTGATCCATCATCTTGCACCTGACCTGCATTTTACCTCTTTTTGTCGAGGTACTGCTATTTCTAAGGGGGCCAAGCTTCTTTCGGTGCGACATAAACAGATCTCTTCCCTTGCCGACATCAAGCTCGTTCCGGTCACTGAGCGCCGAATATGGATACGTGTGGCAGATCCTGCCAACTCCAGGCGCAAGCTATCATACCCGAGCCGCAGCCTGCTTCGATACTGGCTTCGCTGGGCACAGGACCCACCTCTGATGGTTCCCATGTCGGACCCCTGTCTCTTCCCGGCCACAGCTGCAGCTGACGCAATGGCCGAGCAGGATTATTTCGCTATTGGTGGTTTCCTGCAAATTCCAAGCAAGGGTTTTTCTGGTTCAGCGAAAAATGGTCTGTGCGAGACCTCTCCTTTACGGGGCTGGAACTCTCTGACAAGGCGCAGTCTTTACATTGCATCTTTCGAGGCCCTAGCACAGATTGCTTTACTGCATGTTCTGACGGCAGCACTGCCGGGCGGCCGGATGCGTGTGCGTATCAAATCATGGTGATAGCACGGTGTGTCAGAGAGGAAAACCTGCCAGAGCGCCTTAGCCTTCCGATGGCTTCCGACCTGGCATTGGCCACCCAAGCGGGTGACACACCAGGAGCCTTCCTGGGTGCCAGCATTGATTTCAAGGCCGCCCACAAACAAATCCAAGTTCGCCCAGACGAGCACGGCCTTCTTCTGTTTGCCTTCCAAGGCAGACTATATCACTATAGAGTCTGCCATTTTGGCGGGCGTTTTTCGGCCTACTGGTGGCAGCGCACAGGCGCCTTCCTGCTGCGCCAGGTCCACGGCCTGCTCGCGTGGCAGCCGCGCAAAGCATTCCTGTTTGTGGATGATCTTCTATGCGCCCTGCTCCGTGCCCAAGCACCAAAGATTGCCTTGTGTGGTGCGGTTGGGAAATTAACTTCGCCCACGACACCATCCAACTCATGCAGACCAAGCTGGTCAAGCTAGAGGAACTCATCGCGGCCCTCCTGGGCAAAAGAAAGGTCCTTCGCAAAACACTGGAGCAGTGCATTGGGTTGCTCATCTGGGCCACCAGCATAGCCCTGCATTTGCGATCCTGGATGGCGCCGCTGTACGCCGACCTGCATAGCCCACCAGGCTCCATGCGCTCCATCCAGCCACAACTGTGGCCGGCCTTTCGAAAATCTTTAAATAAAGATTTGAAAATGAGCATCGGCCTACCTACCAAAATTTTGGAGGTCGCAGGCAGCGCCGTGCACTGCCTTGACGACATCCCACACATTCCGAGCACCAAGCCTACGTACGTGGGTTTGCATAGCGGACCCCAACAACCCCTTCACCACCCTTTCCAAAGCTAGCCAAGCCTGCCTGCAATGGCTGGGGTCGTGTCTCAAGCACTCTCCCGTACAGCCTTTGGCAAATCAAGCCGGCGCAGCGTTACATCGCGTGCTCCTCCAGGCTACGCATAGCCACATTGGAGGCGGGCACTACTCTTTTAGCATGCCCTCAGGCACCGACAACTCGGCAGCAGAAGCAGGCATTAACAAGCTGTTTACAACATCTTGGCCTTTGCAAGTTTTTGTGCAGCTTGTCGCCTCTTGGGCGCATGCCAAAAACGTTCTTCTGCAACCGACTCACCTGCCAGGGCGCTACAATGATTAGGCAGACGATTTGAGCAGGAGTCGCCTCGCGCGTTTCGCCCGCCGCCCAGCCAATCGTGTGCGCTTCAGCCCTGCCAGCCTTGCGCAAGCTGGAAGGGGCGTCACACTCTGCCCCGCAGAGGCACCATGGCGCCCAGAACATCTGGCTGCAGCAGCCGGGCATGTGTGACATATGGCTTGCTAGCCGTCCGGCTTCAGAAAGCCAGTATGGCTTGCGACAGCACCGCGCGCTCGCCTTCTGCATTTCGCACTGCGAGGCTTTTCCGCCGCCAGAATACCTGGCTGCGACGGCCGAGTTTGCGCACAAACTCCAAGCATCAGAAAATGAACTGATGAAAGTCGCTGCATTGAGGGTTCAGCAATGCCCTCGCATTGTCTGTCACTGTGCTTCGTCCCGCCGCAGGTGCAACCCCGCGCTGAAGAGGGGGACTTTGGGCCTTAATCGCCTGTAACCGGGGTTGCCTTTGGAAGCACTGAAGGAGGGGAACATCTCGCCCCTTGTCCTAGGTGCACCGCATGCCCTAGGAAAGTGCCACCTTCCCAAGCAACCCGGTAAGAAGGTGTGTGCCTTGCTGTGGGTTCAGGGTTCTTGTGGTTTGAGGCTAGGAGCAGTGCGCGGGACCTTTAACGCTAAGGGTTTTCTTTTCCCTTGTGTTTATAGGTCGGGGGTGAATCTCCTACGCCGCCGCCATTTGGTGCTCCTAGCCTAAACTCACGTTTAGGGCTCGCAGTCCTGGTAAGCCCTAAGCTCGCTTAGGCCTTCCGGACTGGGAGCACTCTCAGCTTCATACCAGGGCCCGGACCCGCGGTCTGGCCCTGTGGGCGTCTCTGGACCCGCAGGTCCGTTGACGCGGGCGTGGGCACGCTTGCCACGCCCCCCGTCTGTCATTTTTAATGCAAGGACACGCTTGTCTTGCAACCTTGTTTTCCACAAGGGGGGGGAACATCTCGCCCCTTGTCCTAGGTGCGCCGCAGTGCCCTAGGAAAGTGCCACCTTCCCAAGCAACCCGGTAAAAAGGTGTGCGCCTTGCTGTCGGCTTTTGGGTTCAGGGTTCTTTGTGGTTTGAGGCTAGGAGCAGTGCGCGGGACCTTTAAGGAGGGAGCATGCAAAATGGTCAGGACTTGCAGACGTAAACGACAGCCTCCGAGTGGGTAAACTTGGAGCACAGACTCAGACTCAATGGCCATGCGCTGGGAATGTTTGCAGCTTTTGCGCGCCAGTGCACCGACCTGCTCAAAACCTTTACGAGAGAAGGGGTGGTGAGTTCTGAGCATCAGTGGAATTGAGCTCGAGGGCAATACTTCTTCACTTCATCGTTTTGGAGTCCTTGGTTTCTGAAATCAGCAAAAGCATCCCTGCTTACCTTCTGCAGAAATTTCCGGACCGGCGTGCTCTAGTTTTGTGGTCGGTGCGTTTGCAGGGCTTACAGATCAAAGGCACAGACTAGGCAGACATTGACAGCCATGCCATTAGGGAAGGTCATCTTCCGTTCTATTGTCCTCGCTCACAATGATGCACCGCCCCAACAATCTCTTGGTTCGATTTGTGCCGACGATGTAGGAGAGATTGGCGGTCCAGGCATAGGGTGCTCATATTTCGTGTGGGGCTTGACTCAAGATGCTTTGCAATGTCATCAAATTACCTTTGGGCAGCAAGGGCCGATCATATGCAGTCGTACTGTAAATATTCCCTGCGTTAGGCGCGCCACTAGCGTGCAAGAGACTTGCCATTGGATGCACAATGCATCCAGTGCCATTGTATTTCGACGGAATCTCACGGTCCATGTCTTCCTGTTGTCCTACATAAGCGCTTTGTTTTCACGCTGGCGCTTTGGAAATGATGCCAAGCTGACCAAGCACGGTTTATGTGGAGCATGCCACAGAGAAGAAGAGTATGAGGGATACCTTCAAGACATGGCATGGAGCTGAGTTTGCCTACGGCTAAATGGGGGCCTGCCGTGTTTTGAGTCGGCATGATGTTTGTTTTACTGCTCTTGCCAGCTTTGAAGCCGCCATGTCGAGACATGCGGGTTGAATGCGCATGTGTGCCTTGCGCTCCTCGTGTGGTGGATCACCTCGGCTGCCCACGACTATGGGCGGCTTTGGGTTTCTGGCGCACGCTTCAGGACCACACCGGGAGTCGTGCATCCCTGGTGACGCCAAGAGCCAGGAAGGTATTCGAAGACGGTGATTTGTCTAGGTTCAGCATGGAGCAGCTTGTCTCCGTGGAGAAGCCATGGCGAGTCTTGCTGGGCTTCATCATCTCCCAGAAAAACCGCAGGGCACTAGTCCGCGCTCCGCCCAGTTCGGGCAAAAGCTTCCTGGGCCAGCTGGCCGCGCAGTGAGGTCAAGTGCCTGAGGGTTGGGATGTGGAGGTTCGCTATTGTCCGAACGTGTCCAGCAACAAGTTGCTCAAGCGGCATGGGTTTGAAAGCATCGCTGAAATGGCTGAGGACTCTTGGAGCTCAAGAAAGGAGGGCAACAGAACTGTGGTTTACTTCTTCGACGAGGCCCGCAACACTGGATGCTTTTGTCAACAGCAGAGATGAGAGCGGCTGCGCAGTTTTTGCCACAGCAGGCAGAGCAAGAAGTCTGAGCACCCTAAGGGAGCTGGCTGACAGGACGTTCTTCTACAAATCTCCAGCAAACCATACACATTTGCAGATCTGGTTGCAGGGGCGCTTTTGTGGCATTGGTGTGACAACCTTCCTGGCGACGCAAGTCGAAAAGTCGAAGCACGACAATCTCAAGGACGTCCGCGATGCTTTGGACAGGACCTTGAATGATGCAGTGGGCTTACGCAACCCAACAAGCCAGGCTCGTTTCCATGCAAAGATCTTTTATACCGAATCTCCCTGGGACAATCTTCTTACAATTGGACAAAGATGGAAAACCTGGGTTCTTGCATTTTGTAATCTTTGCACAGAAATTCAAGATGGATTGGTTAGATATCAATTTCAAAGAATATTAATTAATGAATTTCGATAATTAATAATTTTATTAGAATAATATATTATATATATTTAGTGATTCTTAGATATAACATTTTTAATAATAATGATTTAATTGAAAATATTTATATTTTAATATAATATTTTGTAAATATATATTATTATTATTATTAATTATGATTATTAAACTGATAATATTTATTTAATTTATAATTATAAAATAATAATAATATTTTTTTAATTTACATTTTTTAATATTTTTTTACTTATTAAATAAAATTATTTTATTTATATATATATTTATATATTTGATTAATTATATATAATTATAAATAATATTAACTTTGAATTTAAGCCGTATTTAATTATGGTGTATTTTGTCGTTTTTTTTTTGGTTATACTTAATTTTAATGGATGGTTGGCGGTTCTTTTTGATTGGGGGCATAATTCTAAATTGGCATATCTAAATAAATTGTAGTCCGAATCCCTAATTATTATGAGCAACCTCATATATAGAGATTATCTAGTACCTCATAGCGTTTGGTCAATGGCTTCTTCACTTTTTCCCATAATATAATATTTGTTTAAATACACAGATTTAATAAATTTGTATAATCCCCATTCCTATTTCTCAAATATTACCCCTATTTTACGTTAAATGCACTAAGGCTATATATCGAAACTGCATTAGGAAAATTTGCCTCCAGACCATATCATTCCATATTTCCCTAAAAAATTCCTACATATAGGTTTACTCACGCTTTCGTTCTATATCATCCCCCTTCATCAATGCTTATTCGCACACGCGACAATAATAACAAACAACCAACACATACATTCCTCGTAATCGTTTTTACGTGCTTCTACGCTACATCACAAATATTGCTTAGCGAAATTTTAAGCACTAACTATATATATACAACACTCACAACAACATATAAATATATCTTACAATTCTTCCTCATAAATAGCCTTATTCATTATTTCGTATCATGCTACATATATTATTCATGCTATAAACATTTTTCCATAATATACTTCCTAATCCCCTTCGTAAAACATTGCTTATAATTATTCCAATCGGCATTCTTATATATTTCTATATTAGAATTAAATATATATTCATATCTCAATTTTAATCCCATTCAACCCCCCCCCCCTCTTTCCTCCCCTTCTTTCCCCCCCCTTCTTTTCCTCCCCTTCCCTCCATCCCCTATGCCCCACTAAAACATAAACAAAATAACAAAAAGAAATATATATATTTCAATTTAAAACAATCAAAACAAAAATACATCAAATACACATTTTTTATTTTTATTTTTTATACTTATAATTATATTAATAAAAATTATATTAAAAATAAAAAACAACCTAATTAACATAATTTCAATTTAAAGAAAACAAAAATCCATATCAAAAACGCTTCTATACACAATACTAAAATACAAACAAAACTAAATACAAAAACATCCACAAAACACACCAAAAAAACGACGAATTAAAATATATTAATTATAATAAACCAAATAAATTATACATATATAAATATAATTCTTATTAATATATATTAAAATAACATAATTATATATCATATCAATTTCAAAACAATAATATATATTTTTCAACAATAATCAAACCAACCAAATAAATATATATAAACATACCGAATATACAAACATACTGTGGGTGGACAAAATCCTGCACCACGTTCAATACCATAGGAAACCATTGTTCGTTGGTATTTGCAGGGGAATCATCATTCCAGGGTTTCTTAGATGGTGCAGGATTTCGTCCATCCACAGTACATATTTTCCTAACAATCCTTTCCATCCATCCACCATCCAACAAACCATACATCATCCAAATACACAACATATACAAATAATAAAATTATTGCAATTACACAAATATATATATATATATATATCATTCCATATAAAAGATTAACCAATTCACCAAATACACACCCAATAATATATTCCAAAATCACAAATATAACCATACCAACTTTAAACCAAAAAATATCAACTAAAACATAATAATATCTTTAGTAACGCTTTCAATATATATATATATATATACATACACCGATACCTATATGGCTATTTAAAGCTTGAGATTCTTTTTGGGGTCGCAGCTTCAGCGTTTTCATGTTTCCTTTTCTTTGTCGTCTTCTGCTGGGCGGCCCTCTGGAGCACCTCTGCGTAGCAACTGGAGCAACCACGACTTTGGGGAGGGAGGCGAGGCTGTGTGCGGCGATTGCGGGTGCCGGAATTGAAGATGCTGGCGGCAGGCCACGAATGATATGCATGGCCGGATGGACTTTGAACAACATCGGAGTCGACGCTTGTTGCTCTCTGCAAAGTGGAAGTCAGCTAAGTCTGGGCATCCACAAGGCGAAAGCAAAACGACAAACCCTGACTTGGGAGATCGGTCGCAGTTTCTACTCCTGAAAACGAAAATACTTTCTGATCGTTGCTGTTGCTGTTGCTGTTGCTGTTGCGGTTGCGGTTGCGGGTGCGGCTGGTGGTGTTGGTGGTGTTGGTGGTGTATGGTGGTGTATGGTGGTGTATGGTGGTGTATGGTGGTGTATGGTGGTGTATGGTGGTGTATGGTGGTGTATGGTGGTGTTGGTGGTGTTGGTGGTGTTGGTGTTGGTGGTGTTGGTGGTGTTGGTGGTGTTGGTGGTGTTGGCGGTGTTGGTGGTGTTGGTGGTGTTGGTGGTGGTGGTGTTGTTGGTGTTGTTGGTGTTGTTGGTGTTGTTGGTGTTGTTGGTGTTGTTGGTGTTGTTGGTCATGTTGGTAATGTTGGTAATGTTGGTGTTGTTGGTGTTGTTGGTGCTGGTGCTGGTGCTGGTGCTGGTGCTGGTGCTGGTGCTGGTGCTGGTGCTGGTGCTGGTGCTGCTGCTGCTGCTGCTGCTGCTGCTGCTGCTGCTGCTGCTGCTGCTGCTGCTGCTGCTGCTGTTGTTGTTGTTGTTGTTGTTGTTGTTGTTGTTGTTGTTGTTGTTGTTGTTGTTGTTGCTGTTGTTGATGATGTTGTTGTTGTTGTTGTTGTTGTTGTTGTTGTTGTTGTTGTTGTTGTTGTTGTTGTTGTTGCTGTTGCTGTTGCTGTTGCTGTTGCTGTTGCTGTTGCTGTTGCTGTTGCGGATGACGATAACGATGACGATGACGATGACGATGATGATGATGATGATGATTCCGCGCCTGCTCTAAGTCATCCAGGTTTGCCTTCCAGCCCAAGGGGTTGACCTGCCAATAGGTCTCCGTCATGATGGCCGCCCCCATCTTCCTTCGCGGGTCCAGCCAGAAGTAGCTCATGCCTTCGAGCTTCGACTGTGCATCCTGTTGGGTTTAGCTCCACGTCAACAAGTCTGCCACAGCACGGCCGTTTCAATGGATGTGCGATCCAACAGCAGCCTCTTGCGCCCTTCAATGATTGCACATGTCGTTCAAATGCTAGACTTCTGGCTCACTCCGCCTTTGCGGTTTTGACTTCCCGGCAGGATGTCCATCTGCAAAGTGCAAGAGGGTGCAAGGGAGTGATTGACGCTAGTCCCGCGCCTCCCATGTACAGAGCGCCAGCGTGCGGGCCGTACCTCTCGATGTTGCCCAAAGGCGACCATCCCACCTGGGTCAGGGCGTGGCGTCAAAACATACACGTCATTCGCGCCTGCAAAAGCAGCCCAAATGACGCCAGGCTCCTTCAAACGTCAAACCAGACTGCGCGTTCAACTTTGAAAGTCAGGAATATTGTTCGCCACAGGTCCTGTTTGGTTACTGCCTCAATGTCAATCACAGGCTTGCACTCTGTGACGTACGGCAGACGCACAACGATTGTTGTCCTGCCGCAATATATTAGGCCACCCGGGCAGTTGCGCTCCGCAACGCCAACGAACAAACAAACCCTCCGCACACACCCACACAAATATGGGACCTTCCTTCCCTGACAAGCGTGCTAGCAAATGGGACGTCTCCGCGTAAAATCGTCTTTCAGGGGTTGTACGTGTTGGGAAGTGCTTTACTTTCATCCCAGGGGCATCTTCGCTACCCCAGCCCGGCGGGCTGGGCTGCTTGCAGGCCCGCTTCAGGCGCAACCAGTTCGTCAGCAAAGACTGGACGGTGGACTCCTTGAGAACGCGGTGCCCGGAAACCGCGCGCCCACCTCAGCGTCGCTCAGTGGCCTGAAGGAAGTTGCATGACCCTTCGGCCTTCAGCTGCCAGCAGACTCAACAAGCTTGCCCCCTCAAACCAACACAACGCAATCATTTCGCAGATGTCAATAATAGTGGTTGGCTCGCGTCCGCAGCTTTGACAAACGAATATCCATTGAAGGAGAAGATAACACAATGGGGGCGCACCCTTCATAACACATTGATGTGTGCGCCAACAAACATTTAGTAAATTGATGCTTGGGGGAGCTGCAAAGTCATCGTTGCGCGCCTTCACTCAGTTGCCCAGTGAAGGGGACCTCTCTTTTTTGACCAGTTTGAATGGGAAACCAGCAGACAACAAAGCAATGATGTAGGGGCAGAACCCCCATGCTCAAGACTTCTTGTCCAGCTTTTGGCTTATTGGGGTGGACTCTCCTCAAGTAGAATTTGGCTTCATGATAGGTTCCGGAATCTTGCGGCTCATGCAAACCATTCATCCCCAAAAAGGCTTCCCCGAGGGCTCCCAAAAGGCGCCTTGCAAAGACATCCCGAAAGACACAACACATTCCCAAAAACACCTCCCACGACAGCTTTTGCGGGCAGCTTTAGTACTGAACAGGTGCGACTTTTGAGCCTGGTTGTTTGGTTTGCAAATGAACTTCGCGCATCGTGGCAGCATGCCGCTCGATGCGCTTCCACTGTGACGCATTTGGTTCAAACGCCCCAAAGCCAAAATCCCCCAAGTAAACCAAATCCACAACCAACGCGATCCCAACTTGGCCAAGCCCGCCATTCAGCAGCATCTGGCAGAAGAGCAGCACGTCGCGCAGGGAGAAGAGCATTGTAGAGCGCCCAGCGCCCCACAAGCCCCCGGCCGCTGGAACTCCCTTGGAGCCGTACGCCGCCTTGGAGCCCTTCACGTACCTGAAAACCGGCCGCTTTCGCAGGGGAACATTGACTGAAAACCGGCGAACCCATACCAATGGGACATGAGGCGCTCTAGATCTTAGTCCTTTTTGGAATGTGGAGTTGTAATCTGTATTGCTTAGTCTTGTGATTCTCCAAACACTTAAATGTGCTCTGGGAAGTCAACGTGGCGAAATGTTGTGGAAGGGGGTCTGAAGGTACGTATGCCATGCGCTCCGGTAAGCGAAAGTCAGAAGTATCCAAAATTGGGACTAAGAAACGAAAGTGCCCCAGTCTCTCACACGTGGGCCCGAAGCTTTTGGAGATTGCCCTTCCGCATCTTCTTTCCAGCAGCGATCCCATTTCCCTTCTTCCGGGTCCCACAAAGTCAGTCGTTCCAGGTGAGTCTTGTGTGACCCAAGGCTCGAGGGAAAGGTGTTCTCTGCCCAGTCACATGCTGTCTCTCCCATGCGCGCCGTCCAAGCGCTCCAGCCAGCGTTCGCCGCTCGCCTTCCGACTTCTACTTCCCGCATGAAAGTAATCCGGCGTGATCGGTTGATGCAGCAAAAAAGGATTGGTCTATTGCGGAGAGCGTTCTCAAGGTTTCCCAGGATTGAACTCAGAGATGGCTGATGTTGTCATTCAGCATCTGCGCCAAATGTTCGCTTGAAGTGTTGGGCTCATTGTGACTATCATATAATCCAACTTTCCCCTCGACTTCTTGCTGACTGCCCCGACAAGCCCCGCACGGCCCGAGCCATGCCCTCAGTCCTTGAATGCGCGAGCCAAGTCTGAACTCTGCGTTTCAGGAAGTCTTTCCAGAAGGTTTTGATGAGGTTGACCTCCAACTGAGAACAGGCTGCCTCGTCCCGCATGAGCCGGAAGTAGCCCGCAAGTGTTGGGATCTTGGACTGAGGAACCAGGAAGCAGGCATCCCGCATTCCCACTGGCGCTAGGACCTGAGGGCGCGGAATGAGCTCCTAAGCTCGGTTGCCTTGCCAGTTGCTCAATGCTAATCATCAACCATATTTCTGGACAAATCAAGCTGTTATTGTGAAACAGAAGAAGGCATGTTGGTCTGATTGGACCCCTCGCAAAAGGCCCATGGATTGACTCCAGGAACTCCTCGCTATTTTGACCCTTTGCCTTCTACTTTGGCAAACAACTTCTCCATTAGCAAACACTGACATGGTAAGTGCACCTTTAAGACAAACCCAGCTTTGCCTCTTCAGTCCTGAAGTCACCCAGTCTGCGACTACACCTGCGAATGCCTCCACGAGTACATACTTCTAGCCAAAGGTGCAGTTGCCCAGTGGGCTCAATCCGTGATGTCTGTCCCTTGGGCATCCTCAAAAAGGCAAGTCTCGTTTTTCCATGCGAAACCTGGGCCTGAATCAAGCGGATCAAACATCCTGTTCCTAAAAACACACCAACATTCTTCAGGAAGATCAGGTCTGACCGAGTGGCACGAGACCGGATGATCTGATGCAGTGGTTCTCCAAGCACAAGCTCCATAACCTTTGCTGCGCCAAGCGTCACCCTCCTTCATGCGGCAGCTCATTCATTGAACCCGACAAAATGGCTTCAACTGGCAACTGTACATAGGGCAATCAGCTATGTAAAGGCAGCTGCAACCTTTGCGACCTAGGCGCATGGCCAAGAACGTCGAAGCTCATGCCGTAAGTGTAGTCGCTCCCAGGCTGATGAAGAAGTGGCAAGCCTGAAGGGTCAGCTTGCAGCTTGTTGCGACTTTAGCTTGGCATTTGGCCTGATAACAAAGAGCAATCCTTTGATGTCAATGGCTGGAATTGGCGGTGTTCTGTTTCGGCCATCAGATTGATGAAGCATGTACTGAGACATCTTGGTGCAAACTATCTTGTTCGCGATCAAGCATGTACTGAGACATCTTGCTGCAAACTATCTTGGTCGCGATCAAGCATGTACTGAGACATCTTGGTGCAAGCTATCTCAGATGAATCAATCGCTGTTACAGGATCATATCAGCGCAAAGCTGTTCCGAAAACGCGCCATATCAAACCAAGCCAAATCTCCTAGGGGAGGGTTGCAAGCGCTTCCCCCGAACATGTTGCATTGCAGGAGCTCGAAGAGCCCAAATGTGAAACATGTCCAGGGACTCCCGGTTTGCTGTTGAGAAGCATAGATAATCATGATCAAAATGGCCTGCTCACCTCCACTGCCTGCTGACTGCTGGTTCCACAATTGTGCAAGATAAGGCTCCAATCTGAGGGGAGTACCGGGGAACCTCTTACTAACATTTCCAGCGCTCGCCAAAATAACAGCCACCAACGCCAGGAACATCGAGCCGCGTGAGAGCTCCACGCACAGCTTCTCCAGCGTGTCGATTTCGCCTTCAGCGGAATGGACAACTCACCAAAAACAATGCGCTCGTTGCCCACTGCAGATTGCAGGACTGCCCTTCCCCCACACGAGATTAAGTACCATGTTCTTCATAAAGCAATAAGAATGCTGAACTTCCACCCACACGGAATGGCTGCTGAGCGCCATGCGAAACCATTGGGCATTCACACAACTTCAAGCATGCCCTTGGTTCAGAACGAACATACAGACCTGGCTCTGCGTTCTATGCAAGCGGCCGCTTTCCTGCTTCACGGTGATGTCCTTGTAGAGCTTCTCCTTGAGCCCCCAACTACAAGTAGTGCCAAACTCTTGCCAACTAAGCCTCATGACGTGACGCGCCAGGATCGCTACTTCAAGCGCTAGTCCACTGATTGGGGTGGGGTTGCCAAAAACAGCCGCCTTGTACTCAGCTCCTCCCAAAAATAACTTGCAATGGTCCTGATCGGATCTCGCCACCAGCGGCACGCCCGGCGTGATGGCGCCGGGTCCATACCCGAAACCTGAGGTGTGCATGAGCAAGTGCCGCAGCGTCATGGTCTGCCGCAGCGGATCAGTGCCGCCGTTCTTCTTCAAAACCTCGACGCAAACGGGCTTGGTCTCAGACTTGACTTGCCGAGGTGTGACTATCACTATTTTCAAAGACTAAGTGTGAAAAAGCTTCTTGAAACTGTCTCGAAATTCCGAAGCCCAAAAGGCACGACTCGTCCGCGCACCCACACACACACACATTGCGCCCCTCGGCTACTGAGGTTGCTAGAAGTCTGCCACCCAGCACCCTGCAAAGTCTGGACATCCGTAGATTGAATTGGTCGAATCTGTGGGTTCCGAATTCGAGGGCGCCACAGTCCACAAACACACGGAACTTCCAATTTTGTCCTTCACATGCCAGTGGATTGCTACGCGGACAAAACACCCTGAGGTCTTTGAAGCTTGGGATGTATCGATGCACCGGGTCGTCGAGACCCACTGTTCCTTCATCGACCAGTGTCATAAAGGCAGTTGCGGTGATGGGCTTCATCATAGAATACCTCGGCACTGCGCGTTTCTCTCAAGCCAGAATCACTTCAGCGCTGCTAGTGGATTGGGTTGTGCCAGTCACTGCGTTAAACATATCCAAGCATTACCATCATGTTGCTCCAGTTTCTGCTTCGAGGAGCCCTCTGAAGAGCGTGCGCTCCGACATCTTGTGCTTCTTGCTCTTGTCGGTAAATCCACATAGATTCAGAAACGCGATCTTGCCATCCACGATCGCTCCTTCTGCAAAGCCGGGGAACACGCCTTGCTCCTGACCAGATTCCCCGGAGTCAGACAGGGCTCAACTATGGTTTGGCGGCCATTCATTCAGCCTTGAAACCCTAGAAACCTCTCATTTGCACTGTGCCAGCCAAACAAGTGCTAAACTGACAAGAGTAAAATGACTTCACTCTGTTGAGCTCAATTCGTTTTGCTAAATTTCATCCATGGTCCATGATGTTTAACTCATTTCTCCGCTTCAGTGCAAGTCCATGCTCCTCTTCTCTGTCTACAGTAGCAGAACTTTGACCCGCCTTGAAACTCCAAACCGGGAGGTCTGCTGGAACAAACGGGTGGGGGTGTCCTGAAATAGGTGACTCCCTTTGAGATGCTGCTGGACGATGCCAAGGAAAGCAACCATTTGTTGGGCGCCTTACTTCAGTGCTCAGCACGCGTCGAACTGATGGGCCTGGCACTTTCTATTTGCTCTGCAGAACGCGTGCAAGTGGTGATAGCTTCAAAAACACAATTCGCTCTTGCCACGCAAGCCGTCAGCTGCGCTTTATCTTTAGGGGCTGAGGAAAGTAACGCACAAGCTCGACATTCCCTGAGCACTTGTCTCAACCCTCATCAGCTGAGAGCACCCCCCACTGTGACCGAAGCTTGGGAGCGCTTCAGGTGAAAGCAATCACGGCAAGCCAAATCATGTGTCTTCTTTGTGGATGCAAGGGAAATTCATGGAGACCGGCAAACCAACCCATGCTTTTCCATTCGTTGGAAATGGTGGGGATCTTGAGGGAGGCCACAGCTTCCAAGAGAACGCGTAAACAGACCTTCGTGGGTTCATTTCAAAGAGGTCCAGGGCTCTGATTAACATGGTGGCCTGCGCCTGAAAACAGCGATGCACGCCAGCTCCTGGTGGCGGTGTATGCGATTCCTGTGCTGCTCCAGCAACTCTTCATTCAGGCCGTGAGCAGTGCTTTGACTGAACCCGACCGCCCGAAGCGCGCTCATGCGCCGCGGCGACACAGCGAAACCGCCGCTTTACCTGTTTGGTTGGCCGCAAATGGGACAGATCGTTCTCAACTTGAGGACCATAAGCAAGTCTCAAACGACTCGCCGCATCCGTTGGGCTCGCATGTTAATCATTTCGGTTTGGGAAATGGACTTGTGGGCGGCCTTGAATGTGCTGTACTGATGTGTTACGTGCAGTATCAACGGGATCATGGGTCATCATGTGCCTTGTGCTTGGGATCACGCAGAGGCTTGCTGCGAGGGCAGCTTTGAAGCTTCTTGGGCCAGCGCAATGTAAGTGGCAAGTGGATGCGACGCAAGCAGTAATCTTGCGCCCAACCAAACGCACCATCATATCTCCTCAAAGACCCAAACGAAGTACATGTTGCAACAGCTACCCTCAGCTCCAATCCGACGCAAGACTTTGTCCAAAGCGCAGGGGCGAGTCTCTTTTTCTGCGGGGTGCCTGGGGTGAGCCTCGTCTGCATCAGCTCAGCTGAGCAGTCGGAGAATTGAATCCACTCCGAGTTCGACTTGAGCCACTTCGTTTACAAGCTGCAATGTTGCACTGCGTCGCGCTACGCAGCGCTCAGGCAGCAGCTGGCTTGGCCTTGCAACATGGCCGTGCCAAAATCCTTGCAGAAAAGGATAGGATGTCCCACCCTGGTATACTTGTGACTTGTGCTGTAAAGCTCCCATGCAAGGGTCCATGTTTCTCTTCGGCGCACAGCGTTTCACAGAATGTTTGTTTGGTTTTGTGTATATTCAGTCAGCAAACCTCAGGTGTTTGTAAAGTCAAAAACAACTCGTCAAGTTGAGGCCTCAAAAAGGCGCGAGAAGTAGAAATTGGTGGCGGTCATCTCCTTGCGCGTGACCTGGCAGGATGAAGGGCGCAACCCGCATCAGGCAATTTGTTAGCCTCATTCGAACAAATGTGATTGCGATCAACTATGCATGCCACTGGGGAGCCTCAGCCATACAATGTTCAGGCACCAAGACATACCAAAGCGCGCGACAGCGAAACACTTTTGTTCTTGACGCATGGACTTCGCCTAATCAGGGCTGTTTGGGCTCGCGCCTCGAAGGCCCCACTCCTCAGGGATTCTCCGAGTTTGTGAAGGGAACTTCCGGCCCCACTCAAAGTTGCTTTCTTTACTGGCCGAGTGCTGGCTATATGATATAGCGATACAGTCATTTGGTAGTGGACGCCATTTTCGTGCGACCAAGGAGTTTTGGCTTACGGCCCACGCGTAGTTGCCGGTCAAGTGGGCGAAGCTGGCTTGGACGGTCAGTTCAAAAAGCCCCTTCGGCAGCCGAAGCGATGAAGCGGCGAGCCGGTGTTTACAGGTGTCTGCTTCCTGAAACCATTCACAATCGCTGCCGGGTGAAACCTTGGCATGAACATAGATGAATTCAAGATAGCCCCCCCGTGAATACCCCAAACAAGATACCAATATACACTGGTTGAACACACGATTCAAGCATGGGTCCCATTGTCGTTTAGCAGCTAAAACCCTGACGAGGATCCCACCGCTTGCCTGGTAGCCAGCGGCTTGCAAAGCAGCCTGCAATGAAGGTGGCAAGCAACGGCTGTAGGCGAACGCAGAAATAGGGGCTTCGAAAACAGGGAGCCGTAAGATGCACGGGCCTCCTTTTTGTTTTCCTCACACAATCAAAAGGAGGGTTCCCGACGTTTGCACACTCCGAGAATTAGGCAACAACAGCCAAGTGCGCGCACAGAATGCCAGCCTCCACATCTGCCTCATCGTGCAGGTAGGCACCTAAGAGACACACCATACTCACACATTTGGATCTGTGGAGGGAAATAGTCAAACAGCAGCACCATGCAACACCTTGATATTTTTACTGGAAGCAAGTGGTTGGGCGTCTTTTTTTGGTCATCCCTTTTGGGATGGTTTTGAAAGGAAACCTTTCAGGAAACCGAAAGGAAACTGGGATGGCGGTCCTAAGTTTGAGAAGTCCAGTTCAACTTCCTGACAGGTTTTTCCCAATACTGTCACCGTGCCCCGACATCTAGCCTGACCCTCCACAACTTGTGTCGCAGGCCCCGGGCTCTTCCTTTCAATCAAACAGCAGCCATACCAACAAGCTGGTATGTATTCAAGCGCGAGATCTCATGTCTGATTTCTGCCCCAGCCACGCGTTGTTTTCGACTTTCCAGGGAACAGCTCCCCGATTCTCTTCAGCAGAATGTAGTACCTGAACCGGGTGGGACGACACTTCGAATCTCAATCACCCTGCCGAGGAATACTCCAACCAAAGCACCAATATCAGCCATCAGCCTGGAATATCAAATGACTTGTGCAAACACAGAGCAACAAATAAAGAACCATGTAGGCAAACAATCGGTCTCAAGTCAAGAACTAGGTGCCTCCGAACACCTACTGGTTTTTACGGGCTTCTGCCAAACCTGCTCGCCTATCGCCGCATCGAGAGGCTGTCTCCATTCGCCTCTGTGAGTGAAAACCCGGAACTTATCCAAGTCGTATCCAAGTCGCCCTCCGATCGCTCCACAAAACCCGCGTCTCCGCTTCTTGAGACTCGATGCTGGGGCTTCGTTTGGGCGACTCCTTTCACGCGCGCGCATAGCACCTCCCGCCGAAACGGGAGTCTCCCAAAGAGATTTGAAGACGGCCGCACGGCCCGATTTGTTAAGACGTCGAAAAGTGACTCAATTGGTCATCCAAAGAGCTTTGTGTTCGTGACAGCATGGCCTGTGCTGCACGAGAGCATTGCAATCCAGCTATCGCAGCAAAACAAACATGATGGGACCCTGTCTCTTGGACCCGTGAATCAAAAAGTGAACATGGCTCAAGGAACCAACAGAAAAACAAAGGCAGTCCAAGCCATCTCAGCTAGATTGGCGCACCAAGTCTTGGGCGCGAAGGAAAGGACAACCCTCTCCTTGCTGAGCCTGAGGCGCTACACCAACTGGGTGGAAAGCAAGCAGCAAGCCCTGAATTTATGCTGTTTTGAAACATCACGTTCGAGTCAAGATGATGTTCAAAGCAGGTTCAAGTCAATAATATTGGGCGTGAACATAGTTGCATCTACTGGCAACACTTGCCTCATGTTAATGTTGGGCTCCAACTTTGCGTTTTCCCCTGCCACTACGCTTTTAGGAAGAAGGCCATGCAACTCGAAGCATCAAGGGTGAATCCAAACGCCCTGCGATGCAAGACCAACACCTGGTGTATCACTGTATGAAACCAATGCGCTCAAGCCTAACCTTGCAAAAGTGGATCCCCCCTACAGACTTTCCAGCACTCAGTTCTCGATGTTGACTGTTTGAACTTTTCAACTCTTGAAACACAACGCACCAATCCGTACCAAGCCTAACCAGCATCTCGTGCAGATTGGTCGTCCTTTCTTGCCTTCCAACAAACACGCTCCTCCCGACCACGCCCACGTCCCGCGCACGAATGCGTGTTCTCGTGCGCGCCAGTCATTGGTTAATAGAGAAAGAAGAGTTGCGCTAGGTTCGCCAAAACAACCGATCCCAATCTGCATCTTGACGTGTCAAGCAAACTAACCTACAGGTCCATAGTCAGAACATATCAGAACAAAGCAAGCCACGCCAAACACATACCGCTTGAAAAAGGATGAAAGCGAAGTGTCATCTGGGATAACAAGTGTTTCGACCAACAACACAGCGAACTTGCCACCCACCACACCAAGCCCGCAATGCCATCGCGCAAGTCACTTGTGCGTGCACTAATGGCAACTCGGGCTTGAGCTTGGCCAAATGCTGAACCATGCCGGACATCTTCTCAGGGGGGTAGTGAATGAGTACCTCGTGGCAGTCAAACTCCCGGTGATCAAGACAGGGGGTTTGTGAGCCTTAATCATGCAGCTGCTGTCGCCAACGCATCGGGAAAGGGTCTAGTCAATGGCTGACTACAAGATTGCTGTTGAAGCAGGACGCAAATCATGAGCGACCTTCCAGAGATGAGGGGCGCGGCGCTGCAAATGAGGTGGCATTGCAAATCCGCGTGGAAGCGGGGCAGAATCCGGCGCTCGCCTGATAAATGCGCTGGCTTTGGTGCTGTATTTCCCGGACTGGCTGCCCGCGCCGACGGACGCACTTGGGCGGCTAACGCCCATCAATTGATGTTGAATGTCGTTGAACAGGCTGTATATGCTTGGCCTTGCAAGGCACATGTTGATTTCGGCTGACATGTCCCGCACTTTAGCTAGCTTATGAGCCTTCAACCACCCCTCAAACGACAGACCTCTTCGAGCATGACTCGATTGGTCTCCTAGTCGAAATAGGCAACAAGGTGCTTGAAAGCCGAACTGCGACCGCGGCTTGCAGCTTTCTTGGCCACTCTAATCCACTTGAAGTCGTGAACGTCCAACCTGTCAGCCTTGCCCTAGGGTCACACCCAAACTGGGAAGCTATTGGCAGCGGAGCAAAGCCAAGGGCACATCCACGCAGCAAACAGTGTCGTACTCGCCGTCGATGGCCTGCATGAATGCGAGATCAGGGCGTGTAAGAAATGCGCTGCTCTTCTAGGAAACCAGTCTTGCACCCCAGCCCTTGTCTGCAATTCGACTTCGAAACCGAAACCTTGAATACATAATTGCTATGGAGCGCGTCTGTGAAAAGGGCTCTCAAGAAGCCCCATGTCGCTGGTCCGGCAAAGAGATACATTGGTCCCTTTTGCTTGAAGTACTACCGAAACAATCGATGCGTCCCTTCAAAACAAACGAGGAAACACTTTGCAGCAACATGGACGTCGGGTATTGGCAACCAGCCAGGAGTTGTTTCTCGCTCATTTTGAACCTTCGCACCCCGGAATGTCCATTCGCGAATATTATGACGCCGATCTTTGTGGTTGGTTGCCACCCAAAGGGCCTCTGGGAGCCTCAGTTTCATGTTTGGTGGGAGCACAAGGGAGTCCTCTTCGGGCACACTGCGGACCCAGCCTCCAAGTCGGATGTGCCAAACCTCGCGAGGTTTGTGTGTTTTGTCGGTCGCATGGTGTTCTTGAAAACTCACCTCGCACATTGTAGGCTTCAGGGACA